TCTTTTAGAAAATTAAAATCAGGCTGGTTCCTGTCTTCCCTCTAATGTCTCCTGGTCCGTAAGGGAAATCAAGACTATTCAGAGATTTGAGGAGAGGCTGCTAGTGGGACCACTTTGGCCAAGACACTTCCTGTCCCTGAAACCTTTGTAATTTTACCTACGAAATGAACATGAAATGGATTAATCCATGTGAAAGAGTCAGTCTCAGTGCCTCGTATAAAGTGGTCAGTGAATGCTAGTTTTCTTCTTGCCTAAATTAAAATCATAGTGCTACTGAGAGAGGAAGGGTGACTCTGTGGACACACACCCCCTACCCTGCCTGGGACATGCTGACCCACACCTCACCACATAGTGAGGTCTGGGATTGCAGAAGGCCCGTGATTAATGAAGAATCAAAAACCTGATTCAGCTCAATTCAGTTCTGTTCAGGAAAGGAGTCAGAGATGACCAACTGCCCTTGCATCATAGAAAGCACAACAAAATGAAGGAGACCCCAGGTTATGAGTGAACTACTATTTTTTTGTAGCCAACTCAATAGAGTTTCATTGTTCTGCACTAACTTGGAAAAAGACAAATGTACTCTTTAACACAAGCCATCCAGACTTGATTTTAGAGGTAAAAAGCCTTTAAAGTTATAGTCAAGTCTTCTTTAGAGATGAGAAGTCTACCATCCGAAAATTTCTTCTACTAAATATATTTTGAATGTTTATTGTGAGATATTACCTAGATGTGAGCTCATATATCTCCTCAAGACAGGACAGTAGTACTTATCACATTCATTTTCTCTAAACATTCTTAATGAGTAAATGAATGAATGAATTCAGAGACTTAGCAAAGATCATAAATTAGTAGCTGGAGGACCCAGAACCAGAACCCCCATCTCCTGACTTCCCACTGTGTACTCCTGGATGAGATCAGAACATTCATGAAAATAGCTAGGGAAACTCAAGCAATTATCTTAGATCAACTCCTAAATGATCGATTTAAGCCCATCCAGGGAAAATAAATGCAGCACTCTGGCACCAGTACATAAAGGATGTTCAGTTTTTCCACAGAGTCTCTGGATCAGTCCCTTCCTGGCAATGAGAATGACCTTACAAATGCCTTCTGTAAAGGACCTCCACCTACCTCTATTAGCGCCTTAAACAGCTTCCACTTCATTGCCTCTTTGTTTCAGAGTCAAGGTATACAAAGGCCTTGGAACCAGAATTTTACCAATCAGCCAGTAGACACCAGTCAGTGTACAACAGATTGAGTGGAGAAGTCTCTCATGTACTGCTGAGGGACAAGAAAGAGAAAGAATATGTCATTACTTAGAGGTATTCTGGTCCATGATACCCAAAGAATGCTAAGTGTCTAAATTCCATTTCTAACCAAATTTTCCTTCTGGATCTAGATACTGTATTTGCCAATCATGAAAAACCAATGGATATGTAGGCCTTTCAGACACCATTCAGCCTTTCTCAATCCAATTCCTCATCTGAAATTTCAAACACAGAAATTTATTTGATTGACTCTCTTCTCAATTTCTCTCAGGAGTGGTACATAACCTAGACCATCCTTTATTCTTAGGAGAGTAGGTAATCCATTCCTTACAGTGGGTGCTGTAGGTCATTAGGGATCAACACTCTCAGGGAACACTGGCTGGAGTACACAGTAATCTAATGCACCTACAAGCCATGAACATGTCACAGTTGTTCTTACTGTGCGTGCACATATACGTACATGCATACACACACATACACACTTTTTTAAATTTCTCTTTTTGTGAGCTCTTAAAGATAAAGTGGATACATTATCTCCAAAATTTTGTCAGAGGGGAAAATTCATTCATATTTATGTGATACAAAGGAATTATTTTTCTCTATTTGAAAAATATAACAGTAAGATCAGCAAATCTTTTGCAGGTATGCAAATTGAAACTCAGACAAAAATAGACTGTTGGTATGTTTGTAATCAAAAATATCAAGTGTATTTTGTAGGTAATTTGTCTGAAATACTTGGGAGGTGATCTCCTACTTTGTAAGCCATCAACAAATAGTTCCAGAGCATTGCCCTCTTAACTGGCCTGGGAGGACAAGGTAAAGAAAAACCATTTTGCATATTTTTCAACAATTGCTCATTTTTTGCTTTTACTTACATTGCTTGATTTATATCCCTTGTATAAAACCAAAGTCCGTGATTGTCTCCTATCATTTCCTTTTGGTCACCAGTTTGCAATTAGAAAATCACTGTATAGTTGGTAAAATAAAACCGAGCTTGAGAAGGAAATCACAGTTATAGATTGCCTGCTAGGAGTTAGACATGGTGTTAGGTGCTTTGCACATATAATCTCATCTAAGGTAAGTAGTTTTACTCTTTTCCTTCCAGAGATTAAAAATATGAGACTCAGATTCAAACAGCCAATGCCAGAACTGAGTTTCACACAGATTTCTATGGCTCATACGTACAGCATTGTTTCAGGATTCAGCACATCTTCCTCAGTGATAACTAGAAAGTAAATAAGGACATTTTCATTATTTTAGACTTATATCCCCTATTCAGCAGACAAAATTTCTGCCAAAATGTAATCACCTTTAATTTCCCCTTCATATAAGCTCTAAAGAAATGGGAAACATCAAGATGAAGAAATTAAAATACATGAGTGATACTGTAAACTTGATCTTCTTGCATGACTGATTCAAATATACAGTATTCCCAAAGAACTGGTGGGCCATGCTTTGCAAGGGAAGAAGGTCAACACTCAGAAGACAGAAGCAGCAATGTCCTTAGAATCCTGTGATGGAGGAAACAGATATATAGAATGTAGTCTGATGATTTAATTATGTTCTTTTATTCTTAGACTGTGGTGAGAACATGAGCTTGGCCCAGAATTTTTTTCATGCCTTTCTCCATTTGAAAATGTCATTTTCACTGATGGCCTTAATAATTAAGTTCTCAGAAATTACAAAACATGTCCTCGTGTCTTAGCTGGAACAAATGTCTGAGTTCACTGTCACACAGAGTCGAACCACTAAAAAAATCTACTACCCGCACCCCTGCCCCTGCTGCTCACAGAATTGCTTTGGGTCTTCCTTCTTGGCATGGAGCCTGCTGTCAGAAAAGGGAGAACGGTAACTCAAGTATTATTTCTTTTGTCCAAAAAGACAATGCAGAGGCACTTTAAGAATAAGAGAAAGTCTTTCTGCTAAGCCTCTTTCAATAAAGCATTAATATTTATTAACTTTCATTCTGATGTAGAATGAATGTTTTATGATTAAAAAAAAGAGTAACAACAAAATGGCAATTTCAACAACAAGTGGCTTACTCTTCCAGTGATAAAGAGATCAGAATGGAGTTGGCCAACCATTGTCTCTGTATTTTGGAGAACTCTCATTCAGTAATGTAGACAAAGGAGCAATAGAATACTGCTCCATGGAAACAATAAGAATCAAAAAGTTCTGTTTCCTTTATCAACATGAGCCAACTAAAATGAAGCTATGAATTAATGTTATATTAATGTTACATTAACAAATAGTACATACATTAAAAGGAATGAAAGATATTTCAAAAGCTCAGAATTATATATCTTAAATGTAGATTAAAACAATTCAGAAAAAAAGAAGGTTTTTCTTTTCAGTTTTGAACACAAGCATGTCTGTCTCAAGTTGTCCTATTCATTCATTCACTATTTATTGAGTAGATTGTGATTGGCAGGCAAATATTGTAGAAATGTGGAGTTTCAAAATCATTAAGGTCTAAAAAAAATGACTTTCATGAGATCTTTACTATTGAAGAATGTTCTTACTAAGTTGCCTTGTAATTCTTTTAATCAACTACTCAATCTTACTATACCTTTTCATGATGAGTTATGACATAGTGAAAATTAAAAATAACATCTCACCTTCGTGGGTAATATACACACCTCTCAAAGGCACAGAAAAGAAACCTAACAGCATTTGTTTCTGTCCTGTCAATTTTGGTGATTCAGTAGAGGGATAACCGTAAAGACACTGTTGGACCATGAGCTTATTGAATGTTCCTTTCCATAGTCTTGAGGGGAGTTTCTACCTAAGTATTTTAGGAGTAAAATGAAACATACTTGTTTTCATCATATGTAAGCAGTATGGGAAAGAGGAATGAGCATAGATTTGGGAATCAGACAAGCCTGTGTGTGAAATCTGGTTCTATGTGTATTAAACTCTTGGAAACTGTACTTTGCCTGTTTCTTCATCTACAAAATAAACATAACAGCCTCTTGCTTATTAGAATGTTGCAAGGAATATAGGTAATGTATATAAAGCAACTAACTCATGATAAGTGTTACTTTCTTTTTATATCAAAAATCTGAAAGACCACACTAAGAATTGTTCTGTTTTAGGTAGTGTAATTTACTATGAAATTAAAATAACAACAAAACATAAGACAATGATGATCATTTTGAGCCTGATTCATATTCACCGCATGAGGCAGTTATTTTACATTCGACATTTTCACTTACATAATGTGCCTAATAAGAACAGTGTGGATTTGAAATAACAGAATTTCAGATTATTGAAAGAATTTAACAGAAAAATTCATCCCCCAGTCTCCGCCATTCTCCAAATCACAATTGCTCTGCTGTGTGTATTAGAGTATGGACATGATAAAGAAGAGAAAGAAACAAAATAACTAAATCTTAAAATTATTTTTCATCAGCAAATAACAGATTAACTTCAAAATGAAACAATCATTCACATGCCAATTTTTGTGTACAATGAAATTACTAACTCTAGTTTCTGTACACATTCAGTAAATAAATAAATATATAATCCTTTAAGCATCATCTTGCTTTTAATAAAACATTTACCATAAATCTCACTTCTGCCCAAAGCGGTACTAAGAAGAGGAAGTAGACTGTACTCTCACCGCACCAAAGAATTGATTTTCCTCCATTCCCTCTTTTCTCTCCATTCAGTTCTCCTTCTAACATTTTTCTCTCTTTTCTCTGACTCCTTTCTCTTTCTTTTGAAATCCTGCAGGTTGTCCGGCCCTATCAGACCATGTCCAACCCCATGAGCAAGCTCACTGTTCTCAACAGCATGCATTCCCACTTCATTCTGGCTGACAACGGGACCACCGGAAAATATGGAGCAGAGGTGAAACTTAGGAGGCAACTGGAAAAGCATATTTCACTCCAGAAGATAAACACAAGTAAGTAGCTACTTTTCCCACTCTCTTGCCTCCTAGGAAGTCTGTTGAAAATGAATAACTTTAAGTACACCAGGTAGAAATATTTTGAAAACTTAAGGTTTCCAACATGGATCATTATGACTGCTGGGCCAATGGTTAGAATTAGAGGAAGTTTTCCGGAGGAGGCCTGTTGGTGGTGGAAGAAGTGCCCACACACTTCATTCGCGGGCTCCATCTCATTTACCATGCAGGAAAAATTCAACCCCATCTGGGGTTTGTAAATGCAGATAAGTTTTTCTTTCCAAACTTTTCCTTCATCCTTTACACAATACTCTTAAGGAGGAAAGGCACCCTAGGGAAATTGTCTCTATTTATTAAGCTATTTTGGGTAACTGAGGGGAAAAAAAAAAATTTGGCTTTGATCTTAGCACAGATACAGCTGAGCAAAGGCATTTCAAGGGAACTGACATTCTCTACACTAAAGCGTCTTCAGCAAGATGTGTAACCATCTTGATGAAACTTCAGTTCTGTTTCAGTTTTATGTGTGCGTTCATCCATTGTCTCTTGACGCGTAGGTATTTAGATATATGTATACCACATAATACATATCCAATGGTTACACTAAAATTCTCTCTTAAATATCTATGTGTTCTATGCTTTATTTTGGGGGTACTTATTTGTTTTAACTGTGGAAGGTAGCATCGTGAAAACAGCCATGCTCCCCAGACCAGTAGGTGCCTTGCATTTAAATGTGATAGAGGTATGAAAATAATCTCCTGTCCCTCCTCACAAAATGCAATTCAATTCATTTTCACATAGTAACACATGAGGCTTCGTGGCAGGTTCAAATTTTGTGGTAATTTTATGTTCCATCAGAGAAACTTGAATTGAATTGATTCAACTTTCAAAGCCTACAGTTTCAAATAAGAAAAAGATTCTCCCTGGCTAGATAAGTTTTCAAAAGTTCGGTGTAATGCGATTCAACTTGTCCAAATGGCTTTTCTCTTCTTTAGTCTTTTCTTGACATCTGTTGCAGTTGCCATGTCCTTGCCATAACCACTTTTCTCCCAGGGCTGGAATGTTCAACGTATCAGACCACAGCTTCTTTTTCTTATTCTCTATTTTCTGGTTTTACTTTTTAGGAACTACTGCTGTTTAGGCAGTCAAGTTTCATGCCTTCATCTTTTTCACAGGGAAGTCAGGAACAATAAATTTTGGTGTAGGCCTGAAATAAAAATTATATCAATGAGCTCTTTTGTATCTAAGAATCATCAACTGTCTGTGGAAAGAGAAAACAATATTATCCTGAAAAAAAAAAAGACAGAGAGAGTAGAAAAGACTAGATCTATCCAGAGATCAGCATTGATCAAATGTAATAAAGCACCATTAAGCAAGGAGTGATAGGTTTTCTTACACTAAAATTGAATTGTATTATAGTAATTGATAGAATGGGTAAAAGTCACATAACTAGTGTTATCTGTTTAAGTTTTTATAAGCTGTAGCATTACTTTTTTATGCCATCAGATTAAGAGTGAGACCCTACACGGGGGTGATCTGAAAGCTGAAGGAGATGGGAGCAGGGTGGACAAGGAGCACATTCGCTCAAGTTCAGTGCTCAGTAATGAGACAAAACCTGTCCAGACATGCCAAGCATGTCATCATGTCAGGCCCCGGTGGCACCTGAGACAGTCAGTAGCATTAGGGGGACAGATAGGTGAGAGTGCTTAAATTGCACACTCGGCTAAGGAGCGGCGCCAGTTAGCGTGCCAGTTAGCAACGCCAGCGGGAGTTAAAACATAGCCAGGGCTGTTAGCCGAGCCTTGTGCCTTACCTGCTGCCTAAGGAAAGGATGCCATTTTCTAATTGCTCAGCCCCAAAAGGGTACCCTTTTGTGATTTATCTACCTGGAGGATGCCTTTCTCCAAAGCTCACAGAAGCGCTACACATGTGAGTGGCCCTGCAGGGCCAGCCCAGGGAGGTGAAGAGAGGAACAGAGCCCAGCAGCGCAGAGTTGGAGAGCAGGTCAGGACATCATGGGCCAGGCTGGGGGGGCCCCACACTGCAGGAGCCAAATCCCATACACACCCTGGCGGTCATGTGTGGAGACCCTGGACCCTAGTTAGATTGTCAAGACAGATAGCAGCACACAGGCGTATTCACAAGTGGAGACCCAGTCAAGAGAAGCACAAACAGCTTACTGAGCTGAGGATAAAGTCAAAGAAGCTGGCTTGGGACTCCTGGAATGCTCCAGGTCCGCCCTGGGATTAGGCCTAGAGTCTGGGGTGGGTGTGAGCCCCCAGAGTGGGTTAAATGATAGTATCTGGAATGAGGTGGGGTAGAGAGAGCCACACGGTTATTATAATCATCATAATTTATAAACATAATTTTCCTTCTTGTTTGAGGGTTTGTACTTGAGGCTTAATAGGAAACTCATTGTCTCTCATTCAGTGAATGTAGTTAAATCGGAAGAGAAGGATTGAAGGTGTTCAGCAGAGATCCCTGAGGTCACAGGAAGTTAAAAGCATTGTGTTAGCTCCTACCTCAGTTCAAGTGCTGAACTTAGTAGTGGAATGGTGACCGATTCATCCCAGTTTGCCCAGGACTTTCTCAGATATAGCAAATGAAAGTTTCATGTTCCGGGGCCCCTCTGGTCTCAGGTAAACTGAGATGGTGGGTCACCCTCCAAGTCAGAGACTCATGAGCAATTACGTGTACTTCTTTTATTACTACATTCACCCCACAAAGCAGGGAGGGAGCAGCAAGGAGTTCTCAGAAGTAGTGCCACACTTTGAGACCTCTGCTAATTACCAGTAAAGTGCCCACTGAGAAAAGCCTCCAGAACAAGACTGGAAAACAAGGGGGAAGGTTGACCCGGTTATAACAGGAAACACCAGAATAAAGACTAGAGACCTTTCATGAAATCTTTAGTCAATATTTTCGCATCGTAATTCTGCTGTATAACCTGGACATGATTTTTTTCTTCATATCACAATTAGGAATAACGTGGTTCTTCCTTTTAAAATAACATCTTATTCTAGAAGTTTATTTTTAAAAACCCCTTTTACTTTTTCTTTTCATTCTTCAAAAGTTTAGGAAATCTAATATATACCAGCGGAACTCAATTTCAGAGGGTCCCCATTTAGTCTCCTGAAAATTAAACACTCTGCCAGAATACGCTGTACCACTGGGGACCACAAAACCTCTATCCGCCACCCATCACACTTCGGATGACCCTGGGAAGCCTGAACACACACTCGGCATTTTCTTCATTGAGTGCCATTCCGCCTCGTTACTTAGGGGTCATCTGCATGCCACAGTACCCTTTCAACAAGTCTATTTTCTTACATAATAATATAATCTTCTGAAGAATTTTTCTTAAATATTAAGCAAATCCTGCTCAGGAGACCTTTAAACCCTTTTCCATCAACATCCCAATTATTTATAATTACATATTACAAGCACAGTGTCTGACATTTTTCATGGCACTCTGGCATCTATGATCTCATCTCTCCCCTCCCTCCACTCATTTCTGTTGCCAACAGTCTGTGCTGAAGTATCAGCACTGGTTATTAAAGGGCTTTGTTTTTGGAGTAGAATTCTTTCAGATGTGAGGAGCTGCCTGCTTTGGAACACGGTTCCATCTGCAGTTTTCTAAACTTCAAGTTGAATATGCAAAGCCTCAAACAATTCTAATCATGCCTCTAGGAAACAAATATTTCTTGAACTCCTATTATGTACCAGTCATAGTTAAGGTCTAGAAAAGCAGTGGTGGATACTTCAGCTTAAATCAAGAGGGGCAAACTGAGTTCCATAAGTAAACAAACAAGTAAATAGGTGATGTCTGGTAGTAAAAAAACACTATTAAGAAAAATAAAACAGAAAGATATATCTGTGTATACATGTGTGCACATGTTTGTTGGGAGGATAGTATAGGTTTGATGGCTAGAAATGGCCTCTATGAGGAGGTGATATGTAAGCGGAGACCTGGAGTCGGAGCAGCTGTGAAAAGAACATTCTGTAAAGAGTGAAAGCAGGGACCGAGGCCCCAGGTGTTCAGTGAAGTGCAAGACCTTTGTAAAGAGCTGGATTTTATTCTAACAAAGCTTTGATCTGGTAAGTTACAGGATGTCCCTAATGGTTGAAAGCTTCACTCTGCTGCTGTGTGTAGAGAGCAGACTGAGGCATGGCACAACATTAAAAGCAGGGATGTGTTTTAGGATGCAATTGCGATGATGGAGGTGAGAGATGACAGTCTGAATTAGGTGGCACCAATATGGTTGTAAAAAGTGCTTGAACTCAAATGTATATTTTTTTTTCTTCGCTGATCTTTTTTAATGTAGCAAATTATACATAACCTAAAATTTACCATTTTAACCACTTTTAAGTGTACAATTCAATGGCATTAAGTAAATTTTGTTGGTGTACAATTATCACTGCTCTCTATCCCCAGAAATTTTCATCACAATATTGGTCATAGGACATACTTTGAAGGTAGAGCTCAAGAGGACTTGCTAATGAATTGAGCATCCAGGGTAAGGAATAGACACATCAAGGATGCTCTATGGTCATCCATAGAGATACCAGTGCATTCTTCAAATAATGATACTGTTGTAGATTAGAGCTTCTAATGAGTATGTTTTTACAGAGAAGAAAAAGAATTTGAAGACTAGTGTCAGGGGAATCAGAATAAGGTCCTTTGGAAGGCAGGAGGAGATGAGATTCAGCACACAAATGAAGAGTGTGGCCTTAAATAAAACAGGGACAATTTCATCCTGTGCAGAAGGAGGAAAGGCAAAGTATATAAGTGCAGATATGAATAGAATGGGGCATTTTCTGGTGGGAAGATCAGATCATTCTCTGTAGATAGCTTCTGTGTCTAAAGAAGACAATACAAGCCATGGTCTGAGAGAGTTGGAAGGAAAGAGGTATAGGCTATTAGAAAGAGGAAAAAACTATAGTTAGTGTAGAGACTGGGAGAGTGGTCGAACTGGGGAAATATAAGATAACCGCACAGCAACCTG